ATCAAATAATTCACTTGAAAAGACTTGAATATATGACGATGCATGTCTGAAGAATATCTTCATTTTAAGCCACTAAATTTTATTAAAATTTGAAAATTTAAGGAGCCTAGTAGGTGAAATAAAGAAAATAAAATAATATTCATTAAACATGTCTTGAAATATAAACTTTTGTTCTTTGATGGTCAAAACTTCGAGTAATATGAAGGATTATTAAAGAATATTAAATGTCAATTTGTTAGACCGATTTGACTTGCAAGAAAAGTAATCACTAAGATTGAAGAATAGAAAAAATAAATACAAAATTAAATAAATAAAATTTCATAGCTAATCGTACGGGCGCAATAAAATTGATGGTCTAAAGTCAAACTATAATAAGATACCTTAAATTTTTTCATGAAATTCATGTACTAACGAGAAAAATTTAAAAAGTTTTACTTTAACGTTTATGAATCAATCAAAAGAGATAAGAAAAATAGTTATTTTAGAAAAAGTAAATTGACGTTGAAAAGTTAAATCATTAGAAGTATAAAAATAAATATACGTAGATTAGGAAAAATAACACTTGAAGAGGGAGATAAAAGTACTAAGTAATTAATAAGAGAAGAAAACTTTATCATAATTTATTCACTCATTCAAATAACCTTAACCAAATCCAAAAAAGCATATAATTTAAAAAATATTTTACCAAGGATTATATGATATATATAACACTTAATGCTTGGAATAGTATTTTTACACCAAGAACGTCGTCTATAAAGAGATATTAGATCAGATATAAAAATATAACATATTATAATTTTCTTCGTACAATAAAATATATATAAATACAAAAATTATATAATTAACCTACCTAAATTCTTAATCTTTGCAAGTTCAGAAGATATCTAATAACTCTGTATTCAACTATTTTGTCAATAATATTTATTTTTTAATTAAATGAATGTTGCACTATTNTATATATTATGCTAAAGTCGAAGGAAAGCTTATGTGCTAAAGTCGAAGGAAAGCTACTTTGATATTATAAAATTCGTGACTGAAATTTGAGAGAGACGTGAAAGCAAAAGCCGAGGGTAAATTCTGAAACTGGACAATCAATACAGATTTCCTAAATCCCAAATAAAGAGGAAAACATTTGAGTCCATAAATAAGGAGAGAAATTTGAAGCGGAGAGCCAAAGAATAGAAAAGAAAAGAACATAACAAGTTGAGTTTATACTTTATACGTTGTCAAAGAGGGCAACATACATAGAATATTCACATCACAAAAAGAGAAAGGACATGAAGAGGAGGTTAAAAGAGAGGAAGAATAGCGTACCGAAAAGGCTACTTTTATAAGCCACTCACTGCTATTTTCTCTTTCCCCTCTCAACATTTGTTTTTTTCTTTTGGTTTATTATTCGACTAAATTATACACCACCTTTTCTCATTTAAGTATGGTTCTTCTTCCCCTTTTCCCTATGCCTACCTAATGCTAATGGCCCCATTGCCCACTCCCCTAAAATCCAAGTATCTCATCCACCTCTTGCTTCTCTGTCTCAGCCTTTTCGTTCACCCGACATGCATTGATTGCAAAAGTCCAATTCAACCTTTTCCTTTCTTAACTTGAACTTACCTTCTTGCCCTTCGTTCCATTTGAACTATTTTGTTTTTAATCAAATAAATTTTCACTTGAACCTTACGTTCTATGTATAGACAAAGTTGAATGAGAAAGTTTCTGACTTTCGTGATATAAATAATGTTTAAGTGATTTTTTTTATTAAAAAGTTTAACTTAATAATTTAATGCAATAAAGTGAAAAATAAGTGACCATCTATGGAATTAGCTCACATCTGTCTCTCTGATTTTTTACTAGACGTATACTTGTGACTTAATATCCAACTTCATAATATAACACTTTTGTATATAATTTGCAGCCTTGTTGACTTCTCATTCCTAAGAAAAAGAAATCTCCTTAAAATGAATTTTTAAAATGAAAATTTAAAGCAGTTAGATTTACATCTCTGTTAACATTTATTGCCATAACAATTTGAAATGTAACAACAAAAACTAGAATAATTTGAACAAATGCAATTATGTTGCTGTAGGAAATTGACTTCTTTTGTGGCGAATATGAGGAACAAGAAGAAAGGGAAGCAAAACTTTTATGTTTGGATGACCAAAACTATTTACACTTGCCAATTTTTAATCACAGGGGATTATTTGGATAAAAATATTCACATCATTACTATAATATATCAAAGTGTCCACCTGTTTAACGTCATCTATATGCATATACGTATCTGTTCGCAGTGGGGAGCCACATACACCAAAGGGGTGTCAACCGACACTCATTCGTCGAAAAATTACACTGTATAGCTAGGTAATATTTAAAAACAATATATATATATATATAATGACACCCATTGACTTCTTGATAAGTTTATTTCTTTATGTTTTGACTTCCCTTAATGAAAATCTTGGCTCCGCCACTGTCTGTTCGTTCCCCTAACTTCAGTTTAATATCAAATATCTCTTCAAAAATTAGGAAACTATTATTAGAACTATTAATGAACATAAGATATGAATTCACAATAATTACATAGTACTCTCTTCGTTCCGGTTTATGTGAACCTATTTCCTTTTTGGTGCGTTCCAAAAAGAATGACCCCTTTCTAAATTTGGAAATAATTTAGCTTAAACTTTCAATTCTACCCTTAATGAGAAGCTTTTATAACTACACAAATACTCTGGACCCCTTTTTAACTTGTTTAGGACCACAAATTTAAAAAGTCTTTATTTTTTCTTAAATTACGTACACAGTCAAACAAGTTCAAATAAATTAGAACGGAGAGAATATAATAATATGTATAAGTATAGGAAACAACCTCTCAACTTTCACAAGGTATAGGTAAGGTCTGCGTATGCTCTACCCCTCAGATCCTACAATACTTTGTGAGATTAGACTAGATTTGTTGTTGTTGCTGTAGTGATACGGAAGCATAACCCGACACTTTCTTCCCAAGTATGTCTTAGTTATGACTTGAACTATGACATGAACTTAATTCTTATGGTAATGTGGTCTGAAAATGTTATTCTGAGAGACATAAATAAGTGCTTTATAGAATAAGAGAGGTGCTTTACTAGCTTTAACATAAATCTGTCACTAACTACCAATCGTAATAGGTAAACCTGTCATTAACTGCCGAGCGTAATAGAGGTACACATTCAATCAATTTGTCAAGTTAATCTAGTTTGCTTTGTGGATAAATAAACTGGTGATCGAGTTGAATTGAACTTTGGTTAGAATTGATCTCAAACTAATTAAGATCTGAATTTTCCCCTTCCCTTGCAAACCTTGTTATATTTTACCCAACTAAAATAAAAATATTCAATTTTTTCAAATTTATAGATCATCAATAATAATCAAGATATCCGTAAAATGTAGTAAAGTTTCCTAATTCCGATGTCAAATGAAACAAATTTAAGAGTGAACTCACAATTTGGAATAATTTGGTTTACCCTATAGCTTGCGCATCTTCTATTTGACATTCATCCTTGCTCGGGAGTGCGCTCTCTCTCTATCTCTCTCATTTATATAAGTTAAGAGTGATAAGAGCAAGAACAATCAGTTGAATGATTGTTATTCTACTTGCTCTTATAATATCTCCATCGAAATAGAACAAATCTTAATACTCCAATTTTTTTTATCTAAACCCGAAAAAGCCCACATCTTTATAGATCGGGACTAGAATTGGTGCAAGCATAAGCTTTAGGGACAGAAATGAACATGAGTAATTAAATCTTTGTGGACGAAATAAAAAGTTTCTAAACTTGAATAGAAAATATTAATATTCTCAACATTTCATGGGTGGTCATTCAATTTTGTGTTAATTACGAAAAAGTCATTTTTCTTCTTTTTATTACATAAAAATCATTTAACTTTGTGTTAATTATTCAAAAGTCACTTTTCTTTCTTTTGTTACAGAAAAAACATTTTAGCTCTATTTATCACAAAATTCATATTGGCCAGATTTTATAATATTTCTACTTGAAAAGTCTATTATGCTATTGATATTATAAATCCTTTTATTTATGTAACACCTTCTATATTATATACTATATAATATATTTTTACCTAGGTATTTTACTTATAATTAAAATAACTTTATATTATTTTATTTATTATTTTTATAATATATCCATACATTTAATTTTTTCCATGGAACTCAATTTGTTTAATCATATTCAAACATGAACATATTTTAAATATAAAAATAATAAAAAAATATTTATTTGAAATAAGAAAAATAGATTTGTTTAACAAATGATAATTTTTTTATAGTTAATAAGAATTTTAGAAAAAGTTTCAAAAATATTTGTGTTTAATATTGAGATTTTTAAAGCTTTATCAGTTAATATTATTTATTTGAAAGTATTAACCCGATATATCATTGTGCTATATGTAAATATTTTATGTATTGGATAAATGGGCATGGCTTAACTGATAAATCAGTGAACTTTGGTTTTATAATTTTTATTAAAAATATTTCATTAAGCATGGTTAAGAATATGGACTTGAGATTTGTTCACGGTAATGTTATCGATAAATTTAATAATGCTACTTATATATCTTAAAAATTAATGTTAAGAAAAAATTAAATGTACGAATATATTATAAAATAATAAATAAAATAATATTAAGTTATTTTAACTATAAGTAAAATACCTGAGTATAAGTATAGTATATAGCATATAATATAGAAGATGTTGCATAAATGAAAGGATTTATAATTTCAAGGGTATATATAAAATCTGGTCAAAGTGATTATTGTGATAAGTAGAGCATAATAAAATGATTTTTGTGTAACAAATTAAAGAAAGAAAATTAAATTTTTGGTAATTAATATAAAATTCAATGACTTTTACGGAAAAAAAAAAAAGTTAGGCAATGAATACAAAGTTTACTATCATAACTAATTTGGAAGAAAATTTCACGTGCAATAAGATCCCGCGTGGTTCCTATTTAATTTATATCCCACTAAGACCGTCCCAATTTAATACTACTAGTGGAAACCTTCTTCAATTAGAAAAACCAAAAAAAAGGGATAAGATGGGTAATGTCTATGTTCCTCCTAACTTCTATCCAACTTTTGCCTTTTAATTCTGATCCTTCTCTCTCTATCCCTTTGAATGACAACATAATTTTTTAGGCCATTAAAGTAATGGCGTAAAGTCCAAAGTCTTACAAACTCAAAATCTTCAACTTCCTATCCCACTCTTACACGTCCCCTACCCTTTTCGCCCTCAAATGAACAACTCCGCCACCATCGCCGCTGCCGGAGCTGCCATTAAACGCCGAAAGAATCATTATCATCAGTCCTTGATTCCTGGACTTCCTGATGATATAGCCCAAATTTGTCTCTCTCTTGTACAACAACCTTTGACTCTTTACTCCGTTTGTAAATCTTGGCGCCGGCTTCTTTATTCTCCTTCTTTCCCCCCCTTTTTATCTATCTATTCGTTATTGAAACCTTCACAATCTAAGGAGAAAACAAATCAATATGAGGATTCTGTCGAATTCGCCAACTTCGATCCGATTTCATCCAAATGGCACTTACTTCCTCCTCCACCTCTTGAACCGCATCTTCGTCTCCTGCTTCGTCACCCTTCTTTCATCTCCCGTCACCTCCCGATTCAATCGGTGAGCGTTTTTGGCAAATTTGTCCTCCTCGCCGCAACCGCTGACCATCTATTGCCGGCCTTATCTCGGCCCTTTGTTTTCAATCCGCTCAGCCGAAAATGGACTTACGGTCCCCCACTCGCCACACCGCGACGGTGGTGTGCTGCTGGTGCGTCACGCGGCGTGGTTTACGTTGCAAGTGGGATTGGTTCCCACTACAACCAAGAGGTAGCTCGATCGGTTGAGAAGTGGGACCTGAAAAGTAACAACAGCTATGGTTACAGCTGTAACCACCATCACGATAAAAACAAGGGTACTAAAAGCGGATGGAAATGGGAGAAAATGGGCGGTCTTAAGGATGGGAAGTTCAGTAGGGAAGCGATTGAAGCAGTGGGTTGGAGAGGGAAGCTGTGTATGGTGAACGTGAAAGGCAATGCTGCAAAGGAAGGAATCATCTACGACGTTGAAAAGGACACGTGGCAGGAGATGCCGGAGGGGATGCTAGTGGGTTGGAGAGGTCCGGCGGCGGCGATGGAGGAAGAAATTATTTACATGGTGGATGAATCTAAAGGAGCATTGAGAAAGTATTATCCAGGAAATGACAGTTGGGTGGAGATTTTGGAGAATGAGATGCTTAAAGGTGCACAACATTTGGCGGCTGCCGGCGGTAGAGTATGCGTGGTTCGCAGCGGCAGTGATGGTATTGCGGTTGTGGATGTGGTGGCCAAGCCGCCGAGTTTGGTGGTGGTGGAAACTCCGCTGGGGTTTCAGGTTTTGGACGTACATATTTTGCCAAGAATGAGCCAACTGGATTCTGAATCACAATGAGATGACGAATATTGAATAGTTTTTGTTTTCTTGTATTTTCCAAATTGTTCATTATTTTCAGATAAATTTTGGATACTTGTCGACTTTTTGTTGGTTCTTTTTTCTTTTTGTTTAGGTGGGGAAAAAATATATGTATACAATTGAGGAAAAGCCCAAAACCATAGATGATCTTTGGCTTTAGACTCAAAGTCATACATATTCTTTCACATGGAGCACTAATAGTACATTTAATTTAACAAAGTGGTGCACTTTTAGTCATAACACTGAGAAAAAACCCAAAAAATACATGATCTTTGGCTTTAGACTCAAAGTCATACATATTCTTTCACATGGAGCACTAATAGTACATTTAATTTAACAAAGTGGTGCACTTTTAGTCATAACACTGAGAAAAAACCCAAAAAATACATGATCTTTGGCTTTAGACTCAAAGTCATACATATTTTTCCACATGGAGAACTAATAGTCCATTTACTTTAACAAGGTGGTGCACTTTTAGTCATAACACTAAACAGATTTTAATTTTTAATAAAAATCTAGGATCTGACAAAATATATGTTCCCTTTATTTTCTTGTTTACTGAAAGAAATAAAGATGACCGATTTATCTAGATAGTAAATAGTAAATATACATAGAATTTATTTACTATTTATCTATTTACTATATGTAAAATATACATTTTACTAAGAAATGTTAAACACCGTTAATTTTTATTTGCAATAATTTTTATCTAGATAACCTCAAATGTTATCTAGATTTTTTATTATATACATAATATTTACTATACGTTGACATAAAATAAATATATATTTATTAGATTTTTTTATTTTAAGGGAGTCAACGTATAGTAAATATACATAAAATAAAAATAAATATTATGTATATAATAAAAAATCTAGATAACATTTGAGGTTATCTAGATAAAAATTATTGCAAATAAAAATTAACGGTGTTTAATATTTCTTAGTAAAATGTATATTTTACGTATAGTAAATAAATAAATAGTAAATAAATTCTATGTATATTTACTATTTGCTATCTAGATAAATCTGTCATCTTTATTTTTTTCGGTAAACAAGAAAATAAAGGAACAGATATTTTGTCAAATCTTAGATTTCTGTTAAAAATTAAAATGTGTTTAATATTATGACTAAAAGTGCACCACTTTGTTAAAGTAAATGGACTCTTAGTGCTCCATGTGCAAGAATATGTATGACTTTGAGTTTAAAGCCAAAGATAATATATTTTTGGGGGTTTTTTCTCAGTGTTATGACTAAAAGTGTATCACTTTGTTAAAGTAAATGTACTATTAGTGCTCCATGTGAAAGAATATGTATGACTTTGAGTTTAAAGCCAAAGATAATATATTTTTGGGGGTTTTTTCTCAGTGTTATGACTAAAAGTGTATCACTTTGTTAAAGTAAATGTACTATTAGTGCTCCATGTGAAAGAATATGTATGACTTTGAGTTTAAAGCCAAAGATAATATATTTTTGGGGGTTTTTTCTCAGTGTTATGACTAAAAGTGTATCACTTTGTTAAAGTAAATGTACTATTAGTGCTCCATGTGAAAGAATATGTATGACTTTGAGTCTAAAGCCAAAGATCATGTATGGTTTTGGACTTTTCCTCTATACAATTTAACACAAATTCTCACCATAGAACAATATGAAAATCTTTTGAGGTTCATTTAGATATGTTGAAAAAGTAAATATAGTGAAAGTCGAGAGGCGGATGCAGTGTATAGGTATCGGTTTAACTGAACCCATTATTTTCAATATCGAGTATCAACTTAAAAATTCATTGAAATTTTAACAAATAGTAAATATGAACCCATAACTTTAATTACGCCATCTTGGATCCGCCTTTGAGTGGTGCTGCATATATGAGTTTGATTATGGCGGTGATACTGTTAAATATTTTTTTCATTGATTTGCATAATGACAATAGGAATTCTTCTTGTGTTCATTGAGGCTCGTGATTTTTGCATGAGATTGTACTCGTCAAGCAAATGAATCTCCAAATTGCTATTTGGTTGTATATTGACAATCTAAGAATAGGCTTCTACCCCCACAGAAAGGCAACTAGAGCTATGCCATAAACTAATCCTACTTTTGTTTGTTCAAAGCCTCTAGTTTTTTTATTTTAAATTTCAAACAATAACAATAGTTACGCTCTTAATCTCAAGTTAGTTGAGGTCTAATTACATGAATTTTCTGTAATTATGTGCTTAGTTAATTAGATATGTAATCAGTGTCTTTTACATTTTCTATTGTCATAATTTTTAATAGGCAAAAATACATCGCCGACCCGTTAAAGTTATTCACACTTTCCAGAATGTACATTTTTTCTTAAGTAGTTCCATTGAATACTCTAACCATATTTAAAATGTATCATATAGACAACTTCATGATGTAGCATAGTGGTGATTTCTCAGAGCGTGAGAGATCAATTTTATCTTTTTAAAATTCATTTCTCTTTCTTTTTTCTCCTACTCTTTAACAAACCATCACCTTCCTCTCTCTCTCTCCACTAGTCCACCACCATCCACCTTATTGTCTTAGTTCTCATTGCCGGACTAAATAGAGATTGCCTGAAAACCCCCAAACATGTGTCCGTTGCAATTTGAATATTTGCCACATAAAGAGTCCAAACGAAAAGGCTTAAAAATGACTCTAATTAGAGCATGTGAACTGGAACTGGAACTGGAAAAATCAAAAGCACGTGGGCTATGAAAATAAATGAATAACGAAAATGGATAAAAAAAACTGTGAAAGCAAACAAATTTGAGCTTAGCGGTCGACACCATGGTTATTGAGCTTTCAACGAAAATACCAAAGCTAATACTTCTAATATGTCAATCAAGAGATCTGCAAAATCTTCGAGATTTTTTTGGATTTAGCTATGGATATTTGAGGAGAAACGAGAGTGAGTTGCAGTGGTCGGCGTTCGCGATCAATTTCCTCTAAGATGTTTCATGAATTAGGAGGAGATTCAGCTGTATCAGTGGAACGGCGGCGACGACCACTTTTATCGGCCCAAGATTCGTCATCACGACTGGGTTTGAAAGACGGCGCAACTCGCAGTGGTTGACGACGGAATGTGCGGCGGTTTGTTGATATTGCTTATGTGGGTTCGTGAACCTCCTTGTGCTGACTGTGTATAAGTTGCAGACGGGGCTTTGCCGAAAAGCACCGAGGAGGAAACGCCGACGTCAACTGATGAAGAATCTAGCTTAAACGTTTTATAATTACAGATTTAATAACGTAATTAAGGTGTTCGAATAGTATAAGGACCTACACGATCTAAACAGGTGCTTGGAACTATACCAATGGACACATGGTATATAGTGAAGTACTTTGGAGTTCCTAAAAGAAAAAGAAAAGAAAGAGAAAGAAATTATTGAATGGACCAATTACAAAACAAGTTGGGCCAAACTCAAAGTGACAATAATATGTCTTCACGTTAAAAACCTAGCGGCAACCAACATATGACCTTTTAACAATTGAATCTTAAGCTAAAGGATTGAAATCAGAGGGTTAGTTCAACCGCTGAAAAACTAGAAACCATTAAGTTCTTGGCACCCATCTCAATCGTCGAACTGTAAGAAACTTTCCTTTCTTTTTTAGTTTTCTTCCTTATTTTCTTTCTTTAATCAATAAGATTATTGGGATGATAAATTTAGTTGTAAATAAAAGTTAGAGTTTGAGTGGTGAAGTGAGAAATTGGTATGTAATTTTGAGTTGGTAGAGCAGATGTGAAAGAAATCCCTAGTGGATGAAAGATATCCATGTCAAAGCAAAAGGATGGATCTACTGGTGATATTAGAAACTTTATATATCTATTCCACTTTCACGTTCTTAACTAAATACTATAGCAAGGAAGCAACTTTATCTAACCTTAAGCAATTTAAAGTTTAAAACTTTTTGTTCCTTCTTTACTTCAAGTTTTTATCAACTATGTCTAGAAGAGTTTGATAGTCGCTTAGAACTAATTCTAATAACTGAAATGCAATAGTGAATTCGGTGATCAAATTTACATAGAAGGATTATCCATTTGGTTAAAGAGACCATTAAAAAAATAGAAAATATTCCAAACATAATATCCTTAGGAATTGGATCAAGTGTACCAATGCCCAAACAGAAATAATATTACAGAGCTTGGTAGTGGCATATTGAATTGAGGAATGGAACTTAATAGTTATGAATTGACGTGGTTAATCCTATCATCGTAGATTGTGAGTTGATTAACACTCGTGGAACTGCCATCCTGCGTCAATACTGTACCAAGCCCAATATGCGATGCATCACAATACACGATATAGGATCCTGAACTCGTGGGTAATACCAATACCAGAATTGTAGTCAAGGCAGTCTTGAGCTTCTAAAAGCTGAACTCACACTCATCAGACCATCTGAATGGTCAATCTAGTCAATGGGGCTGCGATGGATGAAAACTCCTCCACGAACGGGCGATAATAACCCACCAAACCCAGGAAGTTCTGAATCTCTGTAGGATAAGTAAGTCTAGGCCAGTTTTGAACTGCCTCAATATTCTTAAGATCCACTTCAATGCCCTCGGCAGATACAACATGTCCCAAAAAGGCAACCGAGTCCAACCAAAACTCACACTTTGAAAACTTGGCGTACAACTGACTATCTCTTAGGGTCTGAAGTATCACCCGAAGATGCTACTCATGCTTCTCTCGACTGCGGGAGTAGATCAAGATATCATCATAAGACAATCATAAAAGAATCCAACTAGGGCTTAAATACCCGATTCATCAAATCAATAAATGTTGTTGGGGCATTTGTCAAGCTAAATGACATCACTAGGAACTCATAATGTCCGTATCGAGTTCGAAAAGCTATCTTAGGGACATCCGATGCCCTAATCTTCAACTGGTGGTAACCAAATTACAAATCAATCTACAAAACACTTTGGTACCCTGAAGCTGATCAAATAAGTCATCAATCCTCGGCAACATATACTTGTTCTTGATGGTGACTTTGTTCAACTGCCGATGATCTATACACATCCTCATCGAACCATCTATTTTCTTCACAAACAACACTAGTGTACCCCACGTCGAGACACTAGGTCTAATGAATCCTTTATCAAGCAAATCTTGCAATTGCTCCTTCAGTTCCTTCAACTCACGTGGAGCCATATAATATGGTGGAATAGAAATGGACTGAGTGCCTGG